TTTATTTATTTATAATCCGCGAACGTGAAAAGCGGGTCGAAACGCACGCCAAGGAGCTTGGGCTTACGGACGAGTGGCAAAGACGCACCGTTGACGATGATGGCCGGGTGATGATTGAACTCCTTCGGATCCAGCGTGAAAACAGTGACGGACGGCTTGGCTGCCGAGATCGTCATTCCGCGCTGGGTGAAGAAGTTGTCGACATCAGGTATGAACTCCGTGAGGAGCTGCGCAGCCTGATCAATGTGATAGTGCCGGCAGAAAAACGTAACATCTTCCGCGTACGATACCACTTGCGCGAGTGCCCGGGGAGTGGGAGCTCTCGCATGTAGATGTTGAATGTTGAATAGAAGACATGATCCGCATGTGACGACAGTCATACTCACCGGTTGAGCTAAAGCCATACTATAAATCCACTTCGTAAGTAATTATACCCTACTGATCTCAGTTGGCGGTAATCTCCCGATCACATTTTTGCAAGTTTTTATTATCATCCTTACCAATCGCAAGCCGCAAACTGCACTAGGCATCGGGTTTTACCACGTTGACGAAAATCTCCAGTTGACAACCTCGAAGTTGTCACTACCTTTCACTGGAACACCGTTCCGGATGACTTCATTTTACACCCGCGTACCAGATGACCAAATCGCTCCTGTTTGAAAGTAGGGAGCAAGTAGGGGCACATTGGGGTTTTGATTTGCTACAGTTATTTGTCAGATACAGGATTGGAGGGTTGAATTTAGAGAAAAGAGCATAGGCACAATAGACTGGATAACTCCATGCGGTGGAGTACGGTGTCCATGTCTCACATTTATCTGTGAGGCCTGGCATGACAGAGTTCTCGTGTATTCATGGCTTAGTCATTAGGCTGACCACAAAATTGTTGGGCGTTGCTTTAAAGATCACATAATACTTGTCTGATCTGCTGGTCGGTTCCTTCTTTACCCTGCCTGTTTGGCAATAAGGCCGACTCAAAGTAACAGAATCTTTCCAACTATTGGTAGCACTAATACAGGGTGCGAGAAGGGGGGTGAACGTTCCGATAAC